GAGACAAGAAAAAGAAATAAAAAGAGTACAGATTGGAAAGAAAGAAATAAAACTGACTTTTTTTGCAGATGATATGATTATATGTGTAGAAAATCTCAAAGAATCTACAAAAAGCTCCTAGAACTAATGTGCTTATTTAGCAAGGTCACAGAACACAAGGTCAACACACAAAAATCAATCATATTTCTATATTGTAGCAATGTAGAAGAAAATTAAAACTTTAAAATACTATTTATAATAACTCCCCAAAATGAAATGCTTAGACGTAAATCTAATAAAACATTGACAAAATCTGTGTGGTGGAAACTACAAAACTCTAATAAAAGAAATCGTAAATTGAAAGACACTGTATTCATGGAATGGAAGTGTCAATTGAGTAAAGATGTCACTTCTCAAATTGATCTGTAGATATAACTCAATATCAATCAAAATCCAAGCAGGATTTTTTGGTAAATATAGGTAGACTGATTCTAAAATTTACATGGGCAAGTGAACTAGACTAGCTAAGACGATTTTGAAAAAGAATAAAGTTAGAGGAATCACACCACCCCATTTGAAAACTAACTATAAAGCTACAGTAATAAATATGGTTTGGTATTGGGAAAGAGAAAGAGAACAATGTAATAGAATAGAGAGTTCAGAAATAGACCTACACATTTAGGGCTGTTTGATCTTTGAGAAAGGTGCAAAAGCAATTCAGTGATAAAAGCGGTCTTTTTAGTACATGGTCTATTGAACATTTGGACATCCTTATGCTAAAGAATGAACCTTCATCTAAACCTCATTCGTTATACAAAAATTAACTCAAAATGAGTCATCGATCTAAAATTAAAACATAAAACTGTAAAATCTTTAGAGGTCAACATAAAAGAAAATCTTTGTGACCTGAGGTTAAATTAGGGTTTCTGAGCAGCAGCACTATTGACATTTTGGGCCAGATAATTCTTTATTGTGGGAAGTGCATTGTAGGATATTTAGCAGCATCCCTGGCCTTTACCCATTAGATCCCAGTAAGCACTGCTCCTCCAAGTTGTGACAACCAAAATGTGTCCAGACATTGCCCAATGTCCCTGGATGGCAAAGTCACCCTGGTTGAGAACCACTAAGTTAGAGGAAGAATTCTTAGATGTGACATGAAAAGCACCCTCCATAGAAGAAAAAAAATGATGAATTGTTTTTATAAAAATGTAAAACTTTTCCTCTGAAAGAAATTGAGAGAATGAGAAGACAAACTATGGACTGGGAGAAGATATTTGTAAATCATATATCTGACAAAGAACTTGGATCTGAGATATGTAAAGAATTCTGAACACTCAACTAGTGAGTAAATGAAAAACACAATTACAAAAACTTCACCAAAGAGGATTTAAGTATGACAAATAAGCACATAAAAAGATGTTAAGGGGTCAGCCTGGTGGCACAGCAGTTAAGTGCGCGTGTTCTGCTTCAGTGGCCCGGGGTTCGCCGGTTCGGATCCCGGGTGTGGACATGGCACCACTTGGCACGCCATGCTGTGGTGGGCGTCCCACATATAAAGTAGAGGAAGATGGGCATGGATGTTGGCTCAGGGCCAACATTCCTTAGCAAAAGGAGGAGGATTGGCAGCAGTTAGCTCAGGGCTAATCTTCCTCCAAAAAAAAAAAAAAAGATGTTCAACATCATTAGCTGTTATGGAAATGCTATGATGAGATGCCACTAAACACCTGTTAGAATGGCTAAAATAAAAATTACTGAATTTCAAGAGCTATTAAGGATGTGGAGCAAGTGGAACTCTGAAACTTTGCTGTTTGGGATGTAAAATGGCACAGCTACTCTGGAAGATAGTTTGGAAGTTTCTTATCAAGTTAAACCTGCATTTACCATATAGCCCAGCAATCCCACTTCTGGGTATTTGTCCCAGAGTAGTGAATACAATAACCTGTAAATGAATGTTTATAACAGCTCTATTCATGGTTGCCCAAAACTGGAAACCTAAAGATCCTTCAATGGGTAAATGGATAAACAAACTGGTAGAGTCATGCAATGGAATCCTGTTCAGCAATACAAAGAAACAGTATCGATTCACATGACAACTTGAAAGAATCCGAAAGGCATGCTGAGTTAAAGAAGCTGGTCTCAAAAGGTTACATATTCTATGGCATTCTTGAAAGGACTAAACTGAAGGGATGGAAAATAGATCTGTGGTTAGAGGTAGAGTTAAGGTGTGGCTAGAAAGGAATGATAGAAAGATTTATGTTCTGGGTCCTGAAGTGGCGGTGGTTACACGAATGTCTACCTTCACTGAATTATACATCAAAAGAAAAAAAAAGATTTTATTTTATGATAATTTAAAAAACAGACACATTCAATTCTGATGGTCCTTCATTCGCTTACAGGATGGAGTGTAAACTTCCTAACATGAATTAGAGGGCCCACCCCGGTGGTAGCTCCTCAACAGCAAGTCTGCTTCCCTCATAAAGCCTAAGAATGTAGTTTTTATGGGCGTAGGCTGAAATGTGGTTCTGAAGGTCACAACTGTTTTGTCTCTAAGTAAGAGACAGTTTTTAGTATTTGAAAGGCAAGGATACAGAAGATCTGAGTTCTCACTTTGGTGTTGCATTTTTTGGAATCCTGATCTAGTACAGTCTCATTTGCCCACCTATTAAATGTGACTAATAACTGCCTCTCCCAGTCACTGTTAGGGCAGAAATTGAACCTTTTTTTTTTTTTAAAGATTTTATTTTTTCCTTTTTCTCCCCAAAGCTCCCCGGTACATAGTTGTGTATTTTTAGTTGTGGGTCCTTCTAGGTGTGGCATGTGGGACGCCGTCTCAGTGTGGACTGATGAGCGGTGCCATGTCCGCACCCAGGATTCGAACCGGTGAAACCCTGGGCTGCCGAAGCAGAGCATGCGAACTTAACCACTCGGCCACGAGGCTGGCCCAGAAATTGAACCATTTTTGATCCCAGGCATCACCAATTTTGTCTCTGAACAGAATACTCCTTCCCATCTCAAAACCTTCTGGAGGGAGGAGGAGTATGTGATGTGTTAGGGGAGCAGTTTATATTGTCAAAAGTTTCTCAAGGTGCCTTTTGCATTTATGCATCTATTTTTTTTTTTAAGATTGGCACCCGAGCTAACAGCTGTTGCCAATCTTCTTTTTCTTTCCCTTCTTCTTCTTCTTCTCCCCAAAACCCCCCAGTTCATAGTTGTATATTCTAGTTGTAGGTCCTTCTGGTTGTGCTATGTGGGATGCTGCCTCAGCATGGCTTGATGAGTGATGCCATGTCTGTGCCCAGGATTTGAACCAGCAAAACCCTGGGCCGCTGGAGTGGAGCGTGCGAAGTTAACCACTCGGCTGCAGGGCCGGCACCTATGCACCTATTTGGCAGTCTGGGCTGTACTCTTCTACCTCACTTCACCTCCCTAGTAACTAATTCATTTTGTTGAATCTGAATCCTGCAGAGAATTGGCTTCTAGAACAAGTGCAATGGCAGGTATTTCCCAAAAGGATTGTCCTGAGTTGCAGGTAAGTTTTAGAGCTTTTTGTGGCAGCCCTTTTAGTGTTATAATCACCCTGATGAAGAGTCTTGGCTTGTGCTGCTGCTGTCCTCCCTCGCCTGCCATCCCTACATGCATGTGGCTTGTTTAGAGCTTGGATGACCACCCAAGCCCACCCCTTATTTCCACCACCATTCAACTCCCTCCATGCCGAGGTAAATGATGAGACATTGGTGTTGATTACATTTATCTATTTATTAAAATATTTTAAGAAGCAAAACTTTATTAACTTTGAGGACCGGTGTTCCATTTTGTGGGGGAGGAGGAATAGGCACACTTTGTGGACCTTTTCTTTCGGCTTTTTTCTATTACCCCATAACTGCCCCAGCTTCCTCCCCCAACCAGCCCCTGGCCCTGCCGCTTATTTGCAGGGGCCTCTGAGGAAACAAAAGAAACACAGAACAGAAAACAACATGGATTACGGATTAGCAAATAGACAAATGCAATTCCACAAACCATATAGCCAATTGAGGTTCTTTACAGGATGGAATGGTGCTAAGGGGTTTGGTTGCTTTGGTATTAGTTTCTTTTATGAAACTAAAATTCTTCTGCTTGTGTCCTGAGGGAGGATGATGTTGACCCCAACTGTTTCTTCTGATCAACATTTAACCTAATTTATTAAGTTGAAAATCTTTTCCATATTCTTCCCCTGCCCTTTTGGACACAGCACAGGTCTTTTTTGGAGAGGGGACTGATAACTGCTGACCTGTATTAACACCAGAAGCAGTTGGTGGCAGTCCAAGTCCACTGGTGTTCTCCTTCCCCACTGTTCTTCTGGCCAGGAATTGCCCACCTAGTCAATTCCTCAGAAAGTGCTACCAAAGATGCAACCAAACCCCAGAACTTTGGCTCTTAATGGCATCTCTGAACATAATTGAAAGGGATATTTGGTGTCTGGTCCCATCACCTGAGCACTGGTATTACTGCAAGTACTTAACAATGATGTCCTGAAAGGAGCTTATGCTTCTAGAGGCTAAGCCAACTCCTTTGAGAAAGAGATTCCCCACATCTTGCTTTATTTCCAAGCTAGTACATGCAAGAACAGGTGCTAAGCAAGCTGTCTTTCTTTTTGGGAAGCAACTGGTACATAAGCAATTTAGGAGGTGACCAAGTGACTTAGCAAACCACACCTGCTCCTGGGCCTTATTACTTATCAATTCCATAAGTTGACTCCAGCCCCAATCCTAGTGGTTTCATTCAATATCATTCTGACTCAGGGTGGGACGACAGGGTGGGTGAAAGGGAATACAGATGGTACAACAGAGCAACAGTAGCATTACAATGTACAAAGATGTATAGCAAGTCAGCAAAGAAAGCACAAAAGATGGAGTCCTACTACAGTTTACTATCATTGGTGATAAAAATAATTACAAGACACAGCCCTGCTTAGGCACTGCCAAGATGAGGCTACCTACCCTCTCCCAGGACTTCCTTCTGTTTCCTTAAATTTGCTCATTTAGAAATTTTCCATTTTGGAAAATGTTCTACTGAGGAAAATGCAACTTGGTTCCCAACTCTGTGAGTGTGCGTGCAGCCGCAGAAGAGCCAAGTCGGGCTGCCATGATGACCTTGCTGATTTGATCTAATACCTCCTCCTGGGAAGAAAGAGTGATGCAAAGAAAGCCAAAGTACATAGCAACAGCACACTCCCCACTTAGATACGTAGAAAAAGTTAGCATATGCTGATGCTTAATTAAATTGTAAATGTTTTCTCTCATCTTTTTCCATTAACTTTCTTCCCTAGTTGTAGAGCTAGGACTTCTTTGTTTGTTTGGCATAACAACCAGACGTTTGGGGACTATCCCCTTGTTAGTATTTTTCTCCTCACCCCTGCAGAGGTGGAACACAGGTGGCTGGTTTAAGTGGGCTAGGCTGGTGGAGTTCCAGAGTTGAGAACCAGTGATTGAAGTCTGGATTGTGCACCTCGATGGACCAGCCATTGGACTGAGTCAGGTAACTGAGCACGCTGAGTTTGCCTGAGAAGTAGGGAGAGGCCAGTTTTCTGGCTTTCTGTTAATAAGTGGGAAGGGACACTTACCCAAAGGAACGAGTTGGGGGTAAGCGGTGGGGATACAAGGCAGACCAGAGAGAACCTGTCTGGACACTGGAGTTTGATTAGATTTCCCTGACTGGGAGCAGGCATTCCAAAAAAATGCTAATTGGGATTTGGAGCAATTTTGGCCTAGTTTGTTTTCATGAGAAATTTGGAAGAAGAACCAGGGGAAAAACAGAGGCTTTTAGCCTCCATTTTCCCAGGCCCATGTTCTTTCTGGTCACTTTCAATGTCCCTCTGTACTCAAAGGAAAGGAGCAAGATGGGAAATTCAAAGGTGATTTGGGGACTGACCCAACCGCTTGTCCAGAAGATGCAGGCCAAGATGGGGCTTGTGGGGAAGGGCCTGGGCTGTGACTTGCATCTAAGTCACAGAGTTCAAGGCCTGATTGCTCCATATAGTCTTTTTATTGGGGAAGGGGACAGCACAGGCTGGGGCAGTTGCTGATGTAGAGTCCAGGACAAATAGAGCAAAAAGGGCAGCATGCCAGCTTAGCCCCTTTCTCTAGGGCATTGGTGTTTTTGTTCCCCTTTCCATGGCCTGGCTCAGAATTTTAAGGGGGCGTCAGAATCAGCTGGGCTATAGGTGGATCCCAACCACTTCTAAGACACTGAAAATGCACCAAAAGATTAGAAGCTCCACCAAGAACTAGGGCAGTTGGTAGAGGCATATGTTTGTATGTGTAGGGTAATGGGGGTGGGGGATGGGATAAGGGTGGGGAGGGATTCCTTGGTTAGCACAATAAATTATAGGGTCACTTAGATGTCGAGTTGTATTTTCAGTTCTTAAAAAATATATATATTTATATATACATCTTTATGTCTCTATACATAATCTATACTGCAGCACAGCGGCAAAACATTTAGTTAAAAAATCCAGCAAGAATTCAGGCAAACACTCCATGGAGGCATGCAGGCTAGGATCAAGGCAGTAGGAGCCTATATGGTTGCCATAGGAGTGAGTTCCAACCAATGGGCCCACCCAGCCACCAGAGCACCACCCGGACATATGCAAAGACATACATGCACACATGGAAAAACAAAGGGTTTGCAGAGAGAGCGGTCATCCCGTGTACAAGAAAAAATTTCACATGGTGATGATTGTAACAGATAAGTGGATAAGCCCCCAAGACCTAGTTCTCATCTTAATAAGCCAACTAGGAGAGACCTCCTGAAGTTGCAAGTTGCAACTGGCAGGGATTAGGGGAGAAACACAACCAAGCTTGGCTGCCCTGACCCTCTTCTCATCTCCCTGAGAGTATTTCTTTCTTTCATTCATTCCCAAGCATCAACAGTTTCTCTGCCCATCAGAGAAAACCATTCACAAACTCCCTAAAGAGGTGAACTTCCTTGAATCCTTTGTAGATCCCAGGCCATTCATAAAGAGCTTATCCCAATTAAATACTGTGGTTGCTCAAAATGCACAAAGAGAAGAAGAACTGAACAAGACAACTCGAAACAAGAATCTTTGGCCAATGAGAAAATGTAAACTTCTAAGGAGACCTGATTGAGTCCAGGAAAAATGCATTAGTGTAAAGAATTGGAGGATCTTTCTTGGTGGTGCTCATTTTTTTCTGAAATAATGTAGTCTAGCCTGTATTGAGGTTTCAAGAGTTTCTAAACATTTTGAGTTCTCCTTCCAGCTTTCAAGGGCTACAGTTGAGATCTTGATGACATTGGAGGTTCATCATCTTTTGCTTCATCTTCACGATTTCTGTGATGCCACAAATTTCCTTCAGAGAGAAAACAAGTATAGAAATAATGAGGTCAGCACATTGCCAGATGCCCAAATGTATTGACCGTAAAGAGAGCAAACAGTCCGTTAGAGGACAGACTGGTTTGTTCCTATTGTACCAACCATTTCTGAACCATCCGAGAAAACTAGCTGTCACTATGTGAGCCAAACACAAATGAGATGAGTTCTCAGAACCTGATAATCCATGGAACTGCTATTGATCCCTTTAGAATCTTCAGAAAATGTCTCAAACACCATGGTCTCCCACCTGGCAGAATCTTAGGGAATCAAACCAGTTGAAGCAAACTTGAGGAAACACAGCTTGGTCCAGGAGATTCTCTTTTGGCATCTGTGCAAACTCTCACTTCCTCAAAAACAAAACAAACCACCACCCTCCATCCCTTTTCCCCCATGTCCACTATTGCTATATCGCTCAAGTTTCCAGGTTGTCTAGGCCCAAAATTTAGGAGAGCCCATTGACATCAGAATTGGCATAACTGACAACTCTAGGAGAACCTTTTGAGCCCCACTGACATATCAGTAATGCTTAAGTCCAATTCTGAAGAAGGGATGGAACCAAAAGTCAAATAATGAAACATAGAAATTTTGCATTTCCAGGGACTTACTATAACAGATAGGGAATAAACGTGTTTAGATAAGTCACGTAACCTGTTTCTGAGCCTGTAGGTGCTCAGCACTGACACCCCCAACCCATCTCAAATAATACTGCTTTCTGGAGCAGGGCCAAAAGCTTGTAGTTGAATTTGACTGGGAGAGAGATCTAAGGATCACTATTTTCTTATACCTTATCAACTAAGGACAAGAGTGGGTCAGGCAGAAAAAAAGTAACTGCCTGTTCTCATTTTTCTCTTCAGCTGTCTATATCAGAGACCACACAGCAAGGTTCCTTCTCAGGTTCTCCCCATACCAACGTCCATGTCACTTTCTAACTCACACTCTGTCCTAGAGACTGCTTGGCATTGCTTAAGGTTAGCTCCCAGCTTGCCTCCTCCTCCCTCCATCGCCACCATACCTGGGAACATTTCTAACGGGAGCTTTAGGTCTCTAGGAGGTACCCAGGCTGCTGGGGAAATCTTCATGACCCCTATCCCTGTGGGGGTGACTTACCAATAAAACTCCGAACTCTTTGGCCTGATTTAGGCTTGTCTTCCTTTTCTAGCTTCTTCTTCCCCAATTTGGGGAACTTAACTTTCAATTTTCTACTGTCAGTGTCTGAAGACTTATCCTGGAAAACCACAGCAAGAGGAAGGTCACAATGTTAGTTGCCTAACATTCAGAAATAATTCCTAGAGGCCTGGCAAGATGGTGAACAAGGATGACTGCAGAAAGCAGGCAGATCTGCTATCTATCCAGCTGTGGGAGACACCCCTAATCACTAGCCCTGTGACCTAGAACGGTAACTAATCTTTCTCAAGATCTGTGCTAGGTGCGTTGCTAGATGCTTTAATAAATGCTCGCATATAAGCCCCAAGACAACCTTGGAAGGTGGCTATTATCATCTCTACTTTAGAAATGAGGAAGCCGAGGTTCAGAGAGTTCAATTATGTCACCTGAGGTCATGTGGCTAGGGATTAGGGTGAGATTGCTAGGGTCACTGCTAGCCCATATAGCACCTCTGCATGAGTTAGAAAAAAGCACCCCTGCCTTTAGACATACGGTTTGGTGAGCCCCAACTCACTCCCTTGGCCAAATACCTTCAAATAGGGAAGAACCTGCCTCCCAGGCCACCTGTTTCCCTATCTGAAATGCAAAGAGGCTTCTCTACACATTGCTGTTGATTATGGATGTGGGTGGGTTCTCTGCTATACAAATCATGCAGGCTCTTTAATTCCAGCTGAGCCTCCCAGTCCTCTCGCTCATTCTAAAGTGTCTTGTTTTACTACTGGTCTCAGTAAAACATAATTCCAAGATTAACTTCATTGCCAGAAAACCCAGCCAAACACATTCCAAGAAACTTTGGGCTTTTCTTCTCTTCAAGATGATTTATACCTCCGATCTCTTCCATTAGAAGAAGGGTGTAAACCTGTCCTCCTCCTCTTCCTGCTCTGACTCCCACTTACCCTCTCTCCTCTATGCTACGTACACTGGCCTTCAGAATCGCCTTTCAGAAGAAACCTAAAGGAAGGGCACAGGACCTTCTTGCTCAGCCTAAGCCTTGGAAAGTCCAATGAACAATTGATTTCCAAACTGCTTTTCCCCACCAAAGTGGATCTGAATCTTCTGTGGCCTTAAGATGAGCAAGTTTGGTGTCAAGTGAATGAGCAACATCTTCCTGGCTTTCTTTGAATCCACTCTGCTTCTTTAGAGCCTCACTCCTTCATCTTTATGGATATACTGAAGCCCAGAAAAGAGATTATGCCCTAGGTCAGGCAGACTCATATATTGAGACCTCAGGGCATGGACTGTTTGTCTCATTTCTCTCAATATCCAGCCCATTCACGTAGCTCAGGAGCTTGATGAGATATAGCTGAACTGAGTAATAATAGAAAGGGGGTACTACAAGAGTTTGCTTCCTTTTCTGCATAACAGCATGTTTTCCTTCCCCAGAGGGCTACTGATCAAGATCAGCAAAGGTATATGAGAAAGTTATTAAATCCTTTAAGACCTGAATTTGTATACAGCTGTTTTTCTTAAATGGTAGCCTGATTGGTGCACTAGTCCAAACATGCCTGTAAGGCTTACTCACGTGCATATAAGTGGTGTATGGAGCCAGAAAACAGGTATAATGAGTAAGGGAACCAGAGATTCCTACAGGTTGGAATGAGAAGTTCCATGGTGGAGAGAGATAAAGAAAAACGCTGTCAGACCATAGGGGAATAATTTACCTAGTGACAGGTGGACATCTTTGGGTCATTCGATTTATGAAATGAGATTATGTTTTGATCACAGGAAAGCACTGAGAGTTGTCCACAAATGACAGCGTCCCTACAGCTGCATTGGAGCCACTGCTGCCATGCTTGATTTTCTTTTAAGCCACACACCTGCTAGGGGAAGGCACCGAGAGAGCCTGATATCCTCCCAGGGGGGTGGGAGGGGCGGGAAGCAGCAGGGAGAGGTGATATTTGGAAGATTTAACCACCAGTATGGTCTGGGCACCAACCATTAAGAACAGATGTTGGCTGTAAACAACTGGTATGGCCATAATGGTAGTTACCAAATGAAATTCAGTCCTGGCAGCAGATACTGAGAAGGGAAGGGGAATTGTGGCCAGGAGAACAGCACACAAAAAAAAAACAATCTTGCTCATTCTTTCCCAATCATCTCCTGCCACGGAGTGTTCTTCTTTCTGGTTACTTTCCCATGGCCATCTAATTTTTCAGTGTGCTTTCTTCCTTGTCCTGTCTACTTATGATGAGGACATGGGAAGAGAAGTCTCCATCAAGCTCAAGCTGAAAGCCACTACTGGACTCCCTCTGTTACATCAGTCACTATGTCCTGGCCCACACTGGAAGGTAAAGCACCAAGGAAGAATCCCTCTTCCCCTTTATTTTTCAATCCCCAGGTCACATACCTCTGGAACAAGGATTGAATTCATCCAGTCAATCTTGGATAGCTTTTCAAACTCCTTATTCATGGCATCCAGGGCGGTTTGTAGTGTGGCCTCATCCTCAGCATTTCTCAGCTGGTGAAGACAGGAAAAAGAGTGAGTGTCCAACACCTAGCACCCTGCCTTCATAGATTCTTGCCTTCTCCCCTAATCCCAGTCCCTGCTAGAGGCCATGAGATCACAGGGGGCCAATTTGCATCTCCTTTGACCTTGGGGTCATAGGAAAGTGTAGCCAGCTCTTTTCTTTCCAACAGGCAGACCCAGGAAACAACCAGATGGTGAGGCTTTCCTTGGGGCTGGGTGTGCTCATAGTTTGGCAAGCAGAAAGGCCCTTTGACCAGTGTCAACTAACACTGAGTTATACCCCTACAGCTTAGGGTCCAGGACAAGGGTCCTACCCTTGACCCTCAAGTCCCTGCCAGCATCTAAGTGACCCCCTAAATAACAGCTACCAATTTTCGAGCACATACTTTATGCTAGGCACTGTGCGTAAATGATTTCATCCCATCTTCCCAATAAGTTTTCAGTACCTTACAAGGTACTGTTGTTCTCATTTTATAGGTGAGAAAACGGACTTAAAGAAATTTAGTGCTCAAGATCACATGGCTAGACAGAACTCATATGTTTAATTCTATAGCTAGCCTCTAAACCACATTGTCGCAGAAAGGATATGTGAGGTGGCCAGATGCTGGGGAGATCTTTACTACACAGTTAGCATAATTCAAAGGCTGCTTTGTGAAGCAGGGAGAGGGCTAGAGAGAGATTGGCTCAAAATTTCCCTTCCTGGCAAAGAGGGGTTGCCTCCCCAGGCTGTGCATTAGCCCCTAGTTATTCACTCATTAAGAAATGAGTTCCAGATGACTTGTCTCACAGGTTCAGGAAACATAGCTTAAGCATTCCCTAGTAACTCCCAGCACCCACAGGATGAACTATCTGTAGTCCATGGGAGACTTAAAATAGATTCTTCTGGCACCATCTCCAACTCAGACAAACCAAGTCCTAGACCAACAACATAGGTGAGATAGTTCATGTTCCAGTAAACACTGAGCTGGGAAAATAGATGCATGCTGATATCTTGAGCCCTAACTTGGCCCACCTAACTTGGCCTCACTTCTCCTCCATGGCATGCATTCTACTTTCAATCTGGCACTTATATGGCTTCTTGCTGTGCATGGGCCACTTGGTACTCCAGCCATAAATGAAGCCTTGCCAACTGTCACAAACGGGTGGCAGGTGGATGAGGTTAGAAGTTATGTCCAGTCGGGTTTGGATATGAGAGAGAAATAAGTCAGTGCTGACGAATAATCTCTTACTTTTGTTTTACAACTAATGATTTAGGACAGTACAGAGTAGCCCAGATGCACAGGACATTTGTGTGCACATGGCGATGGGATGGGGGAGAGCGGGTGTCAGGTAGAAATGACCATCACTTCAAGGTAAGAAAGGAAGAGCAGGAAGTCCTTAGGGGCATACTTGCCAGCAATGCTCAAAAGGGGTTTGGTAGTCAAACCCAAAGCCACAGAGAAGAAAGAGCAAATTGGTGCCCTGGAAAATGATTCCTAATCATAAAAGGAGAGGAATAAAATGGATTCCTAATGACTTCCTATTTGGCATCTGGAGACTCAGGCTCTGAAAAATAGTAGGTTGGTGGGCCTGAGTCTCATGCTCTATTCTCTTGTCCTGGCTCCAGTAAAGACATTGTCCAGGACTCTTATCTGAGGTAAATGTGCAAATCGACTCAGAGGATTTTGTTGCTCATTTCTTGGTTTCTGTCCCAACATATCACTGTCCAAGCATATTTATTTGGCAATGAGATTGCCAAATAAGGAAAGCGGAAGTTACTGGGTGGGATTTCCTTCATCATAAGTCTACATCCCTCTGCCAACAGTAAACTTCTTACTGTCCCCCTCCTTCAAGAGGAGGAATAACAACACCCAAATGAAAGAAAACTTATCTCCATGCCACCTCCGTGACATAGCCTTTCTGGAGATACATGGTCATTATTAGTTAGCTGCTGTCTGCCCCCGGCCTCATTTGGACATGTGCGTGTGTGTGGGGTTCCTTATCATGTCCTATATTGTGTGGTGTGTACTCAATTTGGGTTGTTGGCTGGTATGAATCAATATTCAGGCCATGAGCCTCAAGAAATCTTGAGTGGCAATGAGAGGCCAAGCTCTTATATTTCCTGCTGCCCAAACCAGCAAGGCCATTGAGCTCTGCCTATATATAGAAGGTACTTCTGTTGCTGCTGTCTGAGGCTGAAAGACTCTAGCTTGGGGCTCAGATGCTGGGACAGCCTGGCCTGATTGCCTTAGCCACTCTGCTGCCTGTGCAAGTGGAAAAGGGGAGTAGATGCAGTTCTCACAATGTCAACTCAGAAGCCTCTCTTCAAATAAAACTTAATTAGATGAGAGGCAAGACTAACACCTGCCTCAGGGCCTTAGCAGCCAATCCAAGAGTGGGGTGGTCATGGTCAGTTGACTCATCAGAGCACTCACCAAGTGTGCCTATGGGCTTTGCATTATGAAGAACATGCAACTATTTTTGTAGCTCAAAAACTGAGCCTCCATCCATTTTCCCTACCACTAATAAAATCTACCATCTATCGAGTTGCCACTGTGTGCCAGGCACAGCTAGGCACTTAACATACAATAGTTTGTTAATCCTCACAACAACCTGGAGAGGTAGAGATTACAATTCCTCTTTTGTAGATAGGGAAACTACACTCAGCAAGGTGAAGTTACTACACACAGCTAGTATTATGGATTCAATTGTACCTCCCTCCCAAAATAAAGATATATTGAAATCCTAACCCCAAGCACCTCAGAATCTGACTTTACTTGGAAATAGGGTCATTGCAGATGTAATTAGTTATTAAACTGAGGTCATACTGGAGTAGGGCAGGCCCTTGATCTAGTATGACTGGTGTCCTTATAAGAAGATGGCCATGTGAAGACAGAGAGACACAGACAGAACACCACGCGAAGATGGAGGATTGGAGTAGTGCATCTACAAGCCAAGGAACACCAAATATTGCCAGCAAGCCACCAGAAGCGAGGGAGAGTCAAGGAAGGATTCTTCTACAGGTGTCAGAGGGAGCGTGGCCCTGCTGACACCTGGGTTTCAGGCTTCTGGCCTACAGAATTTTGAAACAATACATTTCTGTTGTAAGTCATCCAGGCTTTAGTACTTTGTTACAGCAGCCTTAGGAAACTAATACAGCAAGTAAGTGGCACATTTGGGATTTGAATGTAGCGGTCTCCAACTTTTCTCACTATTTCATACTGTCTTCCCACATGGTGAGAGAGGTATGTGGAAACTTGGGAGATACAAAGCAGTCAAAAGAGCCCATCCTTTTCTTCTGAAGCTGTATTAGGTATGATGAGAACATCCTACTTTTGATTAGCCTGGTCTGGACCCAGGAGACATTTGCCAACGGAGAGGGAGAGACTTTTCTTCAAGGATATGGTAGTCCCTATGGATTAGCATAACCTATGAAGCAATACAGTTAATGACAACCCTGGGTGAGGATGACACAGCGGGGACTGGCAGGTAAGCACCTGGCCAAAATGCTCCTACATGTCTTCCAATGCCCTAGAACCAAGCATAGATCATGACCATCTTCAGATGGGATACGTTGCCCTCCCTTGTTCCAACCCCCTCCACTCACCAAGTTTTCATCCAGGAAAGCTTTGGTGTCATCGTAGAGCCCTTTAAGACTAAATGTAACATCTACTGCGTCATTTCTGTTTAGAGTCTGAGAGGAGACGAAAGGAAAAGAAAGGAAGGGAAAGACAAAGACAGAGGAGTTTTTGGTTAGTAAGCATGCAGCTGGCTTCTCCATGGGAAGGTAGGAGCAGGCTAGTAGGATGTGGCTGTAGGTGAAAAAGTAATATTCAAAATATAGCACGACTCGTACAGCATGGGCATCAACCAATCAGAACTGATGCCAGCTGTCAACTACTGGTACAGTTGTATTGGTGTGTCCTATGAAGTGGCACAGCACAACTTGGCATTTGGCATCATTGATTGAATGCTGTGGGTATAGGGATGGGTATAGGGAAATAAGAAATATGCAAACCAGAGAGTAAATTTGAGGCTACTTGCTGCCACTAAGCTAAAACCACCTTTCCCATGGTAGGTGGCATTAGGCCCAATTATCTTCTTCTTGAAACTCCAGGCCTCCTTGAGCTCCAGATCTCCTCCAACTAAGATCTGGCCCAGAATAAATAAGTAACCCATATTCTAGGAGACCCTGACCCTGTATGCGGCCCTTTTGTATCGTTTGCTTAGTATTAAAGTTAGTTTATAACAGCATCACTGAAAGCTTGTGGCAGTGAGTAAAGTCAGGGGACAGCACATTTAACATCAAGTATCCTAATCTGGACTTTTTTCTCAAGAGGGAAACCAAGGCAGCTTGGAGCTCAGGTTTCAATTAATAGGTGTCACCTTAACAGGTTATACAGGGATCCACCTGGGATGAGGAAGGGCCTAGGCCAAGTTTCTCTCCATTCACTGGCTATTTTTCCCCCGAGGCCAGTGTGGTAGATGGCTATCAGAGAAGAGAGCTAGCTCTCAGGCTGATGAAATCTGCTATGGGATTCCCCCCGTAGCTACTCTGGACCTGTAACAGGTCAAGGAATACCTGCCTTCCCCTCCACTCTATCCATTAGTTTCCTGCCATGTCATTTTCCCAGTTTCTCCACCCGGCCTCTGGCTCCCCTTCCTTCTCTTTTATCCCCTTTCCTATTTGATTTGACTGTTTTCCTTTATTTGCCCCTTCTCCCTTTACCTCAATAGGAGTGCAGGAAGCTGCACCTGCCTCATTGCCACTGTCTTGGCTGTGAAATATATCATTCAAGATGTTGGCACTGGCATTCACAGAATCCATGAGGACAGACACATGCTGGTGGACCTTGCTCAGGTCAGTAAGTCTGTAATAAAGCAAGGACGATAGATGAGTCTGGAGTTCTGAAGGACTTCTGGCCTAGGGTGCTGGTGAGGGTTGGAGTAAAGGTAGAAATGAAAACCCTGGGTCCCTGAATTGGATTCTTTACTCCCTCCTGTTATTTATACTTGTCTCTAGGTAGCCACTTATGCCAGAAAATGTTTCTGCTCTTCTCTAGGTATTCACCTTTGTCCATCCTTGTCTCACCTGAATTAGATACTGTGTGCTTCGGGAGAGTGGGAGGCCAGAATAGAGGAGGGCAGCTAACTCCAGGAACTCCAAGGCCCTCCTGATATTTAAGGGCAAGGATAAACATTCTCAGTCCTGTTGGGTCACGGGCAGCAGGAGGACATCAAAGTTCATCTCTGGGCCTAATGGGAAAGATCCAAGCTGCCTTATTGCTGAGCACAAAGACTATTTCCGGCCTGGATTGCCAGGGTCCCTTTTAATCTTTAGGGCTCTGGGCAAGACTCCTTTCTGAGGCAGAGCTCCCCAGTAGCCAATAGACACAAATCGGCTTCTCTCTATCTCTTCTTGGGATTCTCAGCCCTGTATCTGGGCCAGTCTACTTACCTGCTGATGAGATTTTCTGCAAGCTGAGCTAAGTGCTGCATCTGGGCATACTCCTCATCAGAGAGGCTATATTGAGATTCCTTGGAGTCCAGCTGGGGTTGAGAGGCAGCTTGAATTTCAGTATGCTTGTACTCCCACATTTTCATTGAGTTCTCAAAGTCCTGGAGGTGAAAATAGTGGCAGATTCCAATGATTGCTGCAGCATTGTTGTAGCTAAGAGGGCATGTGACAGATCTGTCTATGAGTCTGATATTTGCAGGTATAGTGAGTAAAGGGGAAAGATGGCCCCATCCATCCCCCCATACATCCATCTACACACCTATACATCTATCCATCATTTTATTCAATGTCCCTTTCATACTAGGCACTTTTAGTTTTAGTTTTAGTTGTTGTTACTGTGCTGAGTCTTGGGACAATGTGCTTGAATCAGACAGATGTCTGCCTCCCAGAAGCTCCTATATGAGGGCATCATGATCAGTAAGAGAATGGACACCTTTCATACTCCTTTCTTTGCCAAATTTAGGCAATATGTTGTGATGGATTTTAGAGCCAGACATATCTAGTTTTATTTTGAATCATGCTTCTGTCATTTACTAGTTATGTGACCTTGAGCAAATTATTTAACCTCTCTGGTCCTCCTTTTCCTCACCTGTAAAGTGGGAATAAGTGTATCTACCTCATAGGATTGTTGGGAGGACCTACTTGAGAGAATATATGTAAAGTGCCCAGCATAAAGTAGGCAGTTTATAAACTAGACTCCCTCTCCCCTCTCTGTTGCTGTTTCTATGGACTGTCCACAGGTCAGAGTGGAAGAAAGTCTCCAAGACTGAGCATTTGATCAATAATGTCTCCTTTCTAGCTTTAAATGGTTTAGCTGAAGTGCATGAGATTTGTGAATGCAGCATTTTAGGAACCTTAGAGGAACCTAAAGACCATATTCAATGAAGAATCTCTTGTTGAAGGAGCAGATTTACCCATAACCACCTGAGGCCTTTAGCTCACTGTGCAGTGGCGGGAGGAGGACAACTCTGTTCAAAACCACAGGAGAGAGCTCTTTGTCTCACTCTCTTGGACAATGGTTTGCAAATGTCAGTATATATCAGAATGTCTCAGGGAGCTTGTTTACAAATGCAAGTTCCCAGGAACTACCCATCCCCAATCTGATTCAGTGAGCCTGATGTGGGACCCAGGAATGTGCATTTCTAACAAGCATTCAAGGTGACTCTGATATAAGTAGCATGCACACCTCCCTCTGAGGAATTCTGCTTGACTGGAAGTATTCAGTACTCAAGTGACAGCAGTAGATGAGACAATGTAGGAGCCCAAGATGAGACTTCCCCTTCTTACCCGATCTCTTGTCAGCATCTGGGCAACATTCTTGTATCTAATCTTGATAAGGCCTGGCCTCTGAACCCAGGCCTCCCCATCCACCTGCACTGGGATACCTTCTTCACCATCAATGGTTATCATCACCTCACGGCACTGCCAGAGAAGAGGAGGAGGCAGAATGGGGGAGAAAAATGAGGCAACTACTCTAGACCAATCTGATAATCTCTCAGTCATGGCCTTAATGTATATCTGAAGCAGGACTGGCAGACTGTGAATGAGATTATCCCAGAGAGTAAACACCTGTTTCCTATGGGCTTTTTGCTCCTTTGGTACCTACCGCTTCTTACTCCAACCTCAGCCAGCACCTTGCTGCCCACCAGATAGCCTCCCCCCTCTGCCCTGCCACTCTTATGCCCAGTTACTTCCTGAGACTACCCCACATCCTGGATTGTAGCCACAGTGCTCAGCCTCTTTCTCGTGCCCACCCAGCCCTTGCCTACCTGGGCAATGCGATGATGATGCAGGTTGATGATACGGGACATTGCCATCTGTACGGAACCAAAGATTGCCACTACCTCCAGCTTCCCATCATCTATTGCGGGAGCCTCATATTCCTGAGGAGAAAGAACTGTGTCATATATCCCACCCTTGAGAAGCCACACCTTGTCCATCACAAGCGAGTATGCTTTGGAGGCTCCTGGTGAGAATTTTTTAGCTCATGAAGAGTGGAGAAACTACATATTAAAAGCGGAAAGATGAGGCCAGGAAGACAATCTGGGAAAAGGGCACTGAGATCACAACTCTTAGCTGGTTCCCTCCCTGACCAATCCAGCATCATAAATCCCCAAGGCCAGTCCCACTGGCCTCATGGCCTTCTTGGGTGAGCTCAGAGAAAAGGGGCCATGGCCAATTTTCCAGGAGATTTTATTGACAGACCTCCTTGGAGAAAAAAGCCTGGCCTGGGTAACCTTTCAAGGATCTGTCAGGCCTGAGGAGTGTAAACTTCCAAGTCCAGGCAATACCTAAGAATTGATCTGATCCCTCAGGTCTTTGGTTGATTCTTATGATCTGGGATGGTAATTGCCTTAAAAAACCTGTTCATATAGCTGCTGCTAATAAAGGTTCCCAGTCCACCTCCTCTTCTCCCATTGTCCACTTCCTACTCCAGCCAGTCCAGCTCTCCTTTCTGAGAGACCTTAGAGGGGTCAAGCCTTTCTCTTTCCCTGTCCCCTGTTCCATACTCACTGTGGTTGCTGTGCTGCTTCCCCAAAAGTTGACACCTCCAGCGTAGCTGGTAATGTTGAGCACTACAATGCCTTGCAGGTTTGGCAAGGAGATGGCTTCTCCATCACACTGAAAAAAAGAGTAGTTCTCATTGGCTGGCTCTTCAGATACCAGTGTGAAGGGACATTTGCAGAGATGGGGGAAGGGCTCTGGCTTCTCTTCATGCTATCATTTTCTTATCCATAAAATAGAAATCTATCTTCATGCCTTCCTCCTATGTGCTTTCAATGAGGATCAGAGTTAAAGCTCGAGAAGAACCAAGGATGTAGGGGAAAGTTGATTCCCAAAGTCATGAGACTTCATCTCTCCATGCTCAGGAAAGATTACCCTCTTTTCCACTAACCTCCAGGCGCACTCGTTCTTCCAGTTTCCTGTAAGAGCGATGGAAAAGTTCCTTGCTTCCCAGAAGGCCATACCACATCTTGTTCTTGATGCGGCTACTACAGGGAAATAAAGGTAAAAAAAAGGTAGTCAGAGGGTGAATAATATAAAGATAAATGGATGAGGGAAAGCAAGAGGAACACCATCTTATTACTCAAGTGCCTTCTTATAGAGAGGAGTTATGTTGAATGGTAACTGGACACAAGAGAGGATGCTAAGCCAGTGCAATTGGTATCCCCATGCAAACATCTGCTGAAATGGGTTCCTGGGCCCCCTAGAAGCTTCAGTGTCCCATCGCTTTGCCACTTTTCCTTACTGCTTATATTGGTTCAGACTTGGAAGAGAGAGGCTATATTCAGAAAGCAATGCTTATAAAAAGCTGTGAGCACAACTGACTGGTACACGCCAGCTACCTTGGCAAGTGCTACTCCAGGAGCACAAGATTTCAGATGCTTGGAATCAATTTCATTTGAAACATAAGACTCTCAGACTGCAATTTCTTTCTTATTTTTTTTAAAGATTGGCACCTGAGCAAACATCTGTTGCCAATCTTTTTTTGTTTTCTTCTTCTTCTTCTCCCCAAAGCCCCCCAGTACATAGTTGTATATTTTAGTTGTAGGTCCTTCTTGTTGTGCTATGTGGGACACTGTGTAAGTGCGGCCTGATGAGCGGTGTCATATCAATGCCCAGGATCCGAACTGGTGAAACCCTGGGCCACTGAAGTGGAGCACGTGAACTTAACCACTCGGTGACGGGGCCGGCCCCAAGACTGCAATTTCTTTGAAGCATAACTTTTCTGCCAAAGTGGAGGGATTTTCCAAGACCTCTATATCAAACACTTAATTCAGTGCTATAGAACAGAGGTAAGCTTCCCTGGTAGATTGTAGAGGAGGAGCCACTGGAGAGAATATGAGACAGGCAAGGATATCAGGAGACTTGAGGTGGAAGTGAGAAGGACAAGGTCCTGCTGACTGTAGGATCTCTGATAAAAACAGGCAGGGGGCTTACAATCACAGGCTGAATAGAGTTTACTATGAGCTTTTAAAGTACAGCCATAGAAATGAGTCGCCACAGGGCATGAGTTTTGAAGTGTAAAAAGGCTAGCACAAAATTATTTGGACCCTGTTTGAAACCATGAGTTTTCTGGGCACTTTAGTTTCCTCATCTATAGAAATAGTTTAGTTATATGGAAATGCAAAATATGTAGAACAACCAAAACAATTCTGAAAAAGAAGAAAGTCGGAAGACTTTCATCTCCCAATTTCAAAACCTACTGTAATGCTACAGTTATCAAGACAATGTGGAACTTGCATAAGATAGATACATAGATCAATGGGACAGAAGTGAAAGTCTAGAAAAAGATCTTTACATTTATGGTAATTGATTTTTGACAAGGTTCCAACACAATTCATTGGGGGAAAGGATAGCTTAAAAAATGGTGCTGTGATGGACAGCTAACCTTTGACAAAGGAGCCAAGAACATACACTGGAGTAGGGGAAGCCTCTTTAATAAATGGTGCTGGGAAAACTGGACAGACACATGCAAAAGAATGAAAGTAGACCATTATCTTTCCCCATGCACGCACATAGACTCAAAATGGACCAAAGACTTGAAGGTAAGACCTGAAACCATAAAACTTCTGGAAGAGAATATAGGCAGTACACTCTTTAATACCAGACTTAAAAGGATCTTTTCTAATGCCATGTCTACTCAGACAAGGGAAACAAAAGAAAAAATAAATAAGTGGGACTTCATCAGACTAAAGAGCTTCTGGAAGGCAAAGGAAACCAAGATCAAAATGAGAAAACAACCCACCAACTGGAAGAAAATATTTGCAAATCATATATCCGATAAGGGGTTAATCTCCATTATATATAAAGAGCTCACACAAATGAACTACAAAAAAACAAACAACTCAATCAAAAAGTGGGCAGAAGATAGGAACAGACATTTTTCCAAAGAAGACAGACAGGTGACCAATAGTCACATGAAAAGATGCTCAACATCACTAATCATCAGGGAAATGCAAATCAAAACTACACTTAGATACAATCTTACACCCATTAGAATGGCTATAATCACCAAGACAAAAAACAACAAATGTTGGAGAAGTTGTGGAGAAAAGGGAACCCTCATCCACTGCTGGTGGGAATGCAAACTGGTGCAGCCACTGTGGAAAACAGTATGGAGATTTCTCAAAAAATTAAAAATAGAACTACCATATGACCCAACTGTCTCACAACTGGGTGTTTACCCAAAGAACTGGAAATCAATAATTCAAAGAGACTTATGCACCCCTATGTTCATTGCAGCATTATTCACAATAGCCAAGATGTGGAAGCAGCCCAAGTGCCCATCGATGGATGATTGGATAAAGATGTGGTATACATATACAATGGAATACTACTCAGCCATAAAAAGACAAAATCATCCCATTTGCAACCACATGGATGAACCTTGAGGGCATCAGGTTAAGCAAAATAAGCCAGACAGAGAAAGACAAACACCATATGATTTCACTCATATGTGGAATATAAACAAACTTACGGACAAAGAGAATAAATTAGTGGTTACAGGGGGAAGGGGGGTGGAGGGTGGGCACAAGGGGTGAAGGGGCATACTTATATGGTGTATGACAAACAATAATGTACAACTGAAATCTCACTATGTTATAAGCTATTACGACCGCAATAAAAAAAAATGGTGCTGTGGCAATTGGATATCCACATGCGAAAAGAAGAACTTAGCCCCTTATCTCATACAATACACAAAAATTAACTCAAAGCAGATCATAAACTTAAATCTAAGAGCAAAAACAACAAAAATTTTAGAAGAAAACTTAGGAGCAAATTTTTAAGACCTTGGGTTACGCAAAGATTTCTTAGATATGGCATCAAAAGCATGATTCATAAAAGAAAAAAAAATGATCAATTGGAACTCAACAAAATTCAAAACTTTTGTATTTCAAAAGATATCATTAGGAAAATGAAAAGACAAGCAACAACAAAAAAAGACAAGCAACTGGGAAACAATATTTGAAAACCACATATTTGGTAAAGTACTTGTTCCTCAGCCTAGGTCTGCTTTGAGAAAGAGGTTCTGGTGGTAGGTGGTAGGCCAGGGGTAGTGGTGGGGGGGGAAGGGCGTGGGGTCATGCTTCCTTTTACTTGTAGTTTCAATTTACCACAAGAACTCTGAGGTTGCCTCAGGGTATGTCTGTAATACAAAAGTACCAGAAGGGGCCAAGCAGGCCAACACTGGATGGGATAAAATCAATGGGTTCAGGGGAACCAGGTTAGGAACACCGAGAACCAGTAGGACGATCTTTGATATTTTGCAGCCTTGCCAAGCAAAAACAGACCTGAAACCACTACTAGGACCTGGTCAAGCTTTCACAGGCAGAACAAAGATAGGTAATTTGCTGAATCGAGTCAATGTAATCTGTTTTCCATAAGAGTAACAATTAACTGTGTTTATACAGCAATCCACAGTTCTCGCTATGAAGGCAGCTCCAAGTTCAGGATGCCAGTGCAGAGTCATCACAGACCAAGTCAATATTTGGGGCAAGCCATCCCCATAGGCTAACATTGGGATGGATGTATTTTACTTCTAAAGGACCTCTTTCTTTCTGTTGCTTGTCTGAGAGTTAGGGGATGTAGGAATACATATGTGTATTGTGATTGTGTGTTTGTATGTAGGGAGGGAAGTTTCTTTTCCTTACTTGTATTGTCCTGGGTGTTCATCTCTTCTGGTGTTGAATTCCAGAGAAATTTTAGCATCCAGTCCAATTCCAAAATAATTGTTCATGACACACCTTTCTTTGAAGCGTCTGAAATTAGCCAAAGAGAAGAAGAGGACAGACATTGGTGCAGGAAAGAAGTGCTGTTAACATTGGGCTGCAGACTTCATCTGCAAGATCGAAAACCACTGAGAGAAGCCTCTTCTGCGTTGGGCAAAGCCTTTATATTCTTGAGAAGCACATGTAGATATCCTATTGTGTTAACAACTAGCTTGTTAGCTGTAAGAGAGGGCACCCAGTCAGTTGTGAAGATTCAGTGGGATTGGGACTCATAATAAAGAAGTTATCTTTGGAGGCCCTCAGATATGAGTGGCCAATATTTTCTCCACATATAGAAAACAGAGTCATTGACTCTAAAAGAACTTTTAAGTATCTCAGATAAAACATATGATGAGAGTAAAGTCTTCACTACTGTTTTCAGAGATGTCTGAACTCCTTTGTAGCACTAAGGGAAAAGATTGATAAAAAGAAGGTAGACATATATATACAAGAAAAAAAAGTGCCAAGCAATTTTTTTTATTCTTTTGCATGCATCTTGGGTGTCAACATCAAAACCAGTGGTGTGCTGGAGCCAGTTCACACGAGTTCATGTAAGCTGATTATGTCTGTCACTTCCAAAGTCTGCATTCAATGGCATTATATCAGCAGCTTGAAATAGGCCGTGGTGGAAAGGTTTACACCAGGAATAAATCAGAGCTTTACCCCCACCAGACAGCTGGCTGTTAAATTTTTGCCAGCACACCATTGATCAAAACTCCTTAGGTAGGTTCATGAGACCTCAGACATGATCTTAAGCCAATGACGAAGTGGAGGGGAGTGGGGGTTGGAGATAAGAATGAATGAAAAACTGCAGAAAACTTAATTTCTATTTGTGCCCTTCTTTTGAGAAACTGAAAATGGGTACAGTTTAGCTACTCAATCACAGGTAATTTTTTTCATTCATTACTAAACTGATCCTACATCTCTCACATGAGATTTGCCTCCCTTGACCACAGTCCAGAAATTGGGTTTTCTCTAACTGATGTCCAAACTGATCTTTTTAATGGAACTCAAAATGAGTTAAAGTGGTGGAACTTGGCTGCTGGAAATATTCTAAAGAGGTAGGGCTAATGAGCCAGACTTCTTTAAATTTACTACCTAGTCGTTTAAATGCCCATTTATTTTTTAGCACCTGCAATCATTTACTGTTAAAGGCAACCGTGGAAAAACAGGTCCTTTGAAATAACAACAGCCAACATTTATTAAGTGCTTATAATAATAATGACAACAACAATAACTGTTAACACATATAGCATTTTACTATGGGTGCCCAGAACTGCTCAGTGCAAGTACTTTGCATATATAAACTCAATAAATACAACAAACCTATGTGCCAAGTTCTACAATTATCTCCATTTTATACGTGAGGAAACTGAGGCTCACATTGATTGAATCATTTGTGTAAGGTCACACAACTAGTAAGTAGAGTCAGGATTTGGCTCTGGGTATCCTTAGACTATTCTCTTAACCAAAGAAAAGAAGAAGCCATACAAAGGTGATAGCGCTAAATACTTACATAGTTTCAGGTGTAAAATGTAAGTGCTCCAAATTGAGGTTATCTAGGTCCTCCCTTTTAAGAGAAGATATAGAAGTCATAGTGCCACAACGAGAACCTAGACACAAAAGAAATCACCTTGATGTCAGATACAGACAAGAAAGCCCTTCTCCCCCACTTGTATTTCACCCTATTTTCTCTATGGAAGCAGGGTCAAGCTCAATGACTTTCTCCTAGATAATATTCAGTGTTCTCATTCCAAAGAGGGATCATCTTGGATGACAGGAACTTCCAGTGAGAGAATAGTAAGGCTGGGCTGCTTACTTGCTGGCAGTGAAAACAGCTTCAAATCTTGGATTTCATCAGGCCAGCCTTTCCAAAGGACCTAATGGGGTCATTACTCCTGGACATTGGCATGGGATCACGAGGTCTCTGGGAAAGAGGAAGGGATATCTACCACAGAGTAGGATTATGGCTAAAGGAAAATGCATGAAAACACACCTTTATTCTCTGGGAACTAGAAGACAGTGATGAAGGCTAAAATAAGAGAAGAAGAGAAAGATCCTTACCATGTTTTGGGCTCGTCTGGTTAGTATCTTCTGAGTCACTTTCCAGGAATAAAGTTGAAGTAAAGTTCTTAACCGATATTGTCTGTCGACTTTGCTCATCTAGAACTATAGAGAAAAAGAGGTAGGAAGGAAGGAAGGAAAGGAAGGAGGATTGGTCACATTTATTGAGCATTTCTTGAGCATCTCTTTTGTTTAGTTAATGCCGTTCAGTGTGTGGGTAGACAATGGAGACAATTTGACCATCACTTCTCCTCCATGATGCTGTTTGTAGTCTCAGCTTTTTTACAGTTTTGCCCCCATGTCTCTTCATATCTGTGTCTGAGCTTTCTCTGTTTTACTGGTTACTCTTTTTCTTTCACCCAGTAAATGTGCTTATGGGTTGAAACTCAGGGCCAGGGTAGGGGGAGCAGGGTGGGAAATCCTCTGCTCTTCTACCTCCATTCTCATCTCTTTGTTAATTCATTTACTCACATGACTTTTGTTCCAAACTTGAGCCTCTAGGACCATGCCATTCTTTCACTCAAATGTCTCAGCCATACCCAGAATATTTGAGAAGTCTCCTTCCTTTCACCAGCTCTCATATGTTGTATAACTCAGGTTCTCAGCATGTGCCAAAGCTCATAGGTTCAATCTCTATCCTACCAAGGATGCCTTTCTCTGTAACCATGACACAAGCTGCACTTCCAAATTTGACTTATGTGTTGATGGAGCAGGCTGAGGGTTGGTTATAACAAGGTTATGGCTACATCAGATTAATATGATCCCCACTATTTGGAAACTAACTACAGAAATTGAGGCAAATTGACTGTTTAATTCTTCCACAGTGCAGAAGGGAAGTTTCCTTTCTTTCTTGGAAATTTGGCTGAGGTTATACCTAAAGGTACCAAGGCAGGAGAAGGTACCATGGCTAAAAGTCATGCCGTATGGACTTCTTCTCAATTCCAATAGCTCATGCCAAACATACTTGGTCTTATACCATCTTCTGATCTGTTTTTCAAAGAAGCACTGTGGGGAAGAAGTGGGGACCAAAATGTTAAATTAAGAAGTTGGAGGAGTTGAAAAATTTTTTTTTTTTTTTTAAAGATTGGCACCTGGGCTAACAACTGTTGCCAATCTTCCTTTCTTTTTTTTTTAAGGATTGGCACCTGGACTAACAACTGTTGCCAATCTTTTTTTTTTTCTGCTTTATCTCCCCAAACCCCCCCTGTACACAGTTGTATATCTTAGTTGCATGTCCTTCTAGTTGTGGGATGTGGGACGCCGTCTCAACGTGGCCTGACAAGCGGTGCCATGTCCGCGCCCAGGACCCAAACCCCGGGCTGCCGCAGCGGAGTGCGCGAACTTAACCACTCGGCCACGGAGCCGGCCCCAGTTGAAAGAGTTTTCATACTGAATTAGAAGCTTGCAGATTGTCATGAGTTGTGGGAAATGGCAATCAATTCTGAAGCTGCCAGGACCAATCTCTGGGCCCTTGTGCCTGATTAATACTGTGCAAGACATGCAGAGACGAACATGATTTTCTTTCTAAAATAGTCACAGGCTTGGTGGTTGGAAGGAAACAGGAGCAGGTAGAAAAAATTCCATGGCTGGTGGTGGAAGCTGACAAATCTTTGAGCCAGGCCACTTAGCAGCTATAATTGTTTAGGATGAGTGTTAGTTCCAAAACTAAATGAGTAGCAAGAATTGAGCGCCTGGGATGTAGGAAGAGTCAAAGGGGAGGTTTATCAGGACTGAGGCTTTTCAAATCAGCAGAATCTGAGGACTGATTTTGGATGCCATATGAATGCAGGATCTTGTCAAGTTTTGGTAGTGAAGTTAAATAGCAAACCCAGAGTAAGGGAGACCAGTAAACCATCCACTGGAACCTTCTCTTTCCCTTGCCTTGATCACCACAACCCTGGGACTCTTACCTTGTTCAACTTGGAATATGATGAGCTTCAAGGATTTCTGGAGATTCTGGGCCTTTGTGGCCAGCTCCAGCTTGCACTTGGCTATGTGGTCTATTTGAGGGACGAAGGGCTCTCCATCTGCCTTGCCACTGTCTGCACTTCCTGTAGCACTCTTCTCAACTGCTGCCTCATCAGCCAGGACATCAATCAGGACACTGAGTTTATCATACATTAAGTCACTCTATACAGGGAGGAGGGAAACAGGGCATTGTTATGAGGGGCCAGTGCCTGAGAGGACAGAATGAGGAGCCTGGGTGGTATGGGGAAAGGGGGAGAGGGGTAGTGGTTGGCCAGGAACACTGAGCATAGAAAACTACATTGTGGGAGATGAAAGTCTGGGGAAAGAAGTACTTGGGCAGATGTGATGAGATAATCAAAAGGTGTTAGAGGATCAAATAGACATTTGTTTCTGGGCAGCTGCAGGCATCAATGTATATTGCCGAGTCTTTCTTGTCAGACTGGCTTGTAAAATGATATGCAACATGGAAAACTTGAGGAAAGAAACATTTCTGGATTGGCATTTTCATGGGCATGCTCCTATGGATGAGGATGTGCCTCTGCATGGGTGCCTCGTGTCTATTTTTGTATGTGTGTATGTTTGGGGATATACTGCATGATTATGGCTTGATTCCCAGCTCCATCACTTAATAGTTTGTGTCCTGAGGCAAGTTAATTAATGTTTTTGTACTTCTATATTCTAGGGCAGTTGTGAGGATTAAATAAATTAATATATTAGAAGTACTTGGAAAATTCCCGGCACAGAGTAAGTGCTATGCAAGTGTCAGCTGTTGTTGCTCTTGTTATAGAGGCGAATATGAGTGTATTTCTAGCATACGTTTGTTTGTACATATTTCCAAGCATGTTCTGGTACACAATCATGTGTGTATATCCTTGGTGTACCCTTGTGTCTAGGTGTAGGCAGATGCTTAGGTACATGGTACGTGTATATGCATGCATGGTGCCACTCTCATTTGGTGAAAGATGGAAATTCGATGAGGTTGGACTTTCCCCATCAGGGAGGCTTACCAGCTTCTCCTCCTTGCCTTTCTTTCACAATGCCCAGTGAGAGACACATTTGCTTTTATTAAAAAGAGGGCCCTGGCTCCACAAAGAGCGCAAGACAAAAAGGAATGGAAACTTACTTTCAAAATCACAGACTCTATTGCTGTATTGTTCTGTTTTATCTGACTCCAGGCCTTTACAATATCAACCACAAAATCTTCCACTGCTGAGCACAGGAATCTGGAAAGATAAGACAGATGGCACAGCATGACATGGACTGTTGAGGTCCAGAGCCTTCTCTCTTATAACGTCATCAGTCTCCATATTTCTCTGCCTCATTCTCTCTGTCTCTTTCCTGATCTCTCCTCTCTCCCTTTCCTTCTCCCTCTCCTCCCACTCCTTCTCCCCTCTCTTTGTTTTTTTCTGCTTTTTCATGTACATATGGTGAAATATGCATGTACTCAAGGGAGTTTAACTACAACTTCTTAGTCCTAATTCTGAATTTCCAGAAAAGAGAATTCAATTGATCCAGCTTGGGTCAGGATTTTACCCTGGGTCAAATCAGCTATGGTTCAATGGCCCAGCTAAGTTAGTACAAACATAATGACATTGGGAGGACTGTCCCTGTGGGGAGAGTTTCTCAAAGGAGAGTGTGGTAGACTTGGCAGGAGAGTCCCAGAAGGGATGAATAAACCCACATATTGAGAAGGGGAGAATATGTTGCTCAGGCTATGAGAAAGCAACTGTAGTAGGCACTACAGAGAGCTTTCCCGGTATCAGATGGAAACCAAGGTGTCCCTCCTGTAGGGAGCTATGCTATGCTGTTGAACGGTGTGGAATGTTGTGTCTCCCTTCTGTAACCCTTCTTCCAAATCTCTGGCTTGCAATTTTGTTTTTTTGGAGCCCTCACCCCAATCTCATCTTCTTTTCCTAAACTTTCATTCAGGAGGTTTGAGTTGGGAGAAATACAATTTGGGAAAGTAAACATATACTTTCCTTGGCCTCAACACCTCAAGCTATCAAAATGAAGCCCATCTCTGACTGAGGAGCAGCACGTGAGGGGTAAAAACACACCTCGAAGTTTGAGAGCCAAAGGAAGACTGACCTGGTTGCAATAATCATCTCTGTGGGGTACTTGGCCTTCAGGATTTTGTCCAACTCAATGGTTGCAGATTCTAAGTGCTGGATGGCAGCAGCCTAAGGGGAAAAAGAGTGTTCAGCTCTGGCATCTTAGCACCGTAACATAGTGTGCCGCCCATTCTCACCCCTTCATTATTTGCTACTAACTCTTTATGAGAACTCAACTGTCTCTCAGGAAATAATCACAATCAAAGAATTCTTGTTGAAGATCCCCATAGATAATCTTAGATCTGTGGTCATTCTAAAAATAAGAGCTGTCTATTGTTTCCTCTCTTTTAAATTATTACTCGAAAACATATGAAGGAGGTACTGTTTGTTCTATGTTTCAAATGAATGAACAATCTCATATTACATGGCTAGTAAATAATAGATCTGGGATTCAAACCCACATCTTTCCAATGCCAGAGTGTCACCTCTTATATAATAATATTAGTAATAATAATAATAGCATCCACTTATATAGTACTTACTATGTGCCAGGCTCTATTCTAAGCTAAAAATACATACATATATATATATATCATGTAGTCCTTATAACAACCCTATGAGATAAGAATTGTTATTATCCCCATTTCACAGAACAGAAAACTGAGGCACAGAAAAGGGGGAGCTGATAAGTGGCAGAGCCTGGACTCAATTCCAGGTTGTCTGGCTCTTGAGTCTGTACTCTTAACTAGGACTTCTACTCCTCCCTCTCCATCACCTCCTACATTCAAACGTCTACCAAGTCCTGATGATTCTCTCTTCAACGTGTACCAAATATGTCCACTTCTCCTTATCCCTGTTAGCACTTCACCAGTCCAAATCACCATCATCTTTTGTCTAGACAATTACAACATCTCCTATCTTTTCTCCTTGCCTCTAGTCTTTATTCCTTCAATTGTTTCTCCACATACCATGGAACTCCTCTGCTTAAAACCTTCCTATTAGGTGGCAGAACAGAGAGATGGATAGATACGTGATTTTAAAAAATAGACTGAAATATTAATGGTAGAATCTACCATGTAAAATTTCCTGTATGTTTGAAAATTTTCATAATAAAATAAGAAAATAAACCTTCTACAATTCTCATTGCTCTTAGGATAAATGTTCAAACTTCCTACCACGGTTTACCAGGTCCTTCCTGGCTTGGCCCTGATTACTTCTGTAGCCTCATCTTTAGTCACTCTCCCTGCAGACCCCCTCCTTGGCCACTTTGCCTCAGCCATTATGAATGTATTTCAGTTCTGCGACTATTCCATGTTCTCTCCTGCCTTTGGAACAACACACACTGCTTCATCTGTCTGGAACAGGCCTCCTCTTTCTTATTATCCTTGTTAACTCCCTCTGATCCTTAAATCTCTTCTAAAATGGGGCGTCTTCTGAGAAGCTTTCCCTGATTTCCCCCACACTGAGTCAGGCACATCTGCCAGGTGTTCCCACCCCCCTCTACTTCCTTATATACTAACGCTCATACTACTTTGTTAAAACTATTTTTCTACCAGTGCAACTAGACTATGAGCTCCATGACGGCAGGGACTATGTCATTCTTCTTTACCAACTAGCATATAAGAACCGCTCCTACGACAGTCACATGGTAGTTAATCTATAAATATTTTCCATAAATCTTTTGAGTGAATGAATAAGTAAATGGCTGAATGAATTATATCCCCAGTACTTAACACACTGCTTGGTAAATAGCTGCTGACTGACATGTCCCAAGTCCTCAGTTATCTCAGTCTCATCAAGCCCATGGACAATACAAAAGCTGCTCTCTGGGTTTGGCTATTATTTCACTGTGTAATAAAGATGTTGGCCTGAATTACAGCTGGGTGGTAGTTACCTCAAATCGGGGTACATCCATTTCAACTTGTCCTCTTAGCAATGGGGTTTGTCTGGGAGTCTCACGGATCATCACACTCCATCTGAAATAAAGTTAGAAGACAGATATTTAGGGCTCTGTTTCATCATAGGCTGGCTTCAAATGTCAAAAAAGAGCTCAAATGTTTATGCTGTGGAGAAAGATGCGTTGTAGGGGATGCCTAAGCTATCTCAGGCCACCTGATCTCAAGGTATACTACAAGAGGTGTCTCTGCTTCACGACTTCTCCAGGCCAGTGTGATGGAAAGAATCCCACCACAGGGTTCTCAGAGAGCAGTGCTTCTCAACCAGAGGTAACTCTCAAGATCACCTGAAGTGCTTTTGTAAAATACACAGACCAGGGCCGCACCCAAGACCTACTGAATAGGAATCGTTGTGGTAGGGCCCAGCTTGGTAACTTGAAAAACCTTCCAAGGATATCCTTATGGGCTTCCATAAATCAAATACTATGTCCCAGAATAGAAAGTCTTTCTTCTCAGAAGACAGGATGGCAATACTTTCTCTTCTCTAGAGCAGAGATAATCTAGGCTAATTGTTTATGAACCTTCATATTTTTGAGTTTCCTTGAGAACCTGATAAAGCTATAGAACAGTTTCTATACTATTCTAGAATAGAATAGAAAGATAGAAACTTTCTCAGGAAAAAAATATGCTTACATAGACTATTAGCTATGCAATTTGAAGGAGGTTCACAGGACCCTTGAAACTTACTCATGAGGCACCTGCTCTAGGATCTTTTAAGTTTGAAGAGGGGCTTCAGTGATGTTTGAAGGATACATGGTAGACCCTGGATTCCTAATAGACAAGGGCCCCTAAACCGCCCTGCACTGAAGCCATAAAGGCAATGAGGCTCTGTGAGGGAGGTTAGAACATTCCTGATTGAGGAGATGAAACTGGGAGTAATGGATGTGGGACTGGAAGAGGCACAACGGCCTGATCTTTTAGCCACTCACCTGTCCAGAATCCTCACACTAGCCTGCTCCACTCTGCTGAGGATGTTCAGAGGCGACTTGTTTTTGTTCCAGAATGCGCCCCAGCCTAGGACACGGGCCAGATCATTGCCGGTTCCAAGAGGGATGACTGCCAGCTGACACTGCAAGAACAAACCAGGCACTCATTCCAGACAGTCCTACCAAGATCCATCCATAAAAGAACCCAGATGGTGCTCTTTGGGAAAGATTGTGGTCTCAAAGCCAGGGGCAATAAGGGACTTCTGATCTTAGGAAGTGTAATAGGAAGATGTTTGAAGTTGAGTGAAATTTTCCCTAAGGTGTTGGGCCCCATTCCTGGCAATACAGAACCTACTCACTAAAGAGAAAAGTTGCTGGAGTACGCCAATATTTATAGCCATGCTTATAAAAGAGAAATATAGCCACAAATTTCTATCTAGGCTTGGCCAAGGAGGTGAGGTGCCTCAGGAGACAAAACTACTGGAATCAGAAGAGCTGGGGGCTACCTAGGTAGAGGCAAGAGAAGTAGAGGAAAGTTTCTGCTACTCTTGAGATTCAGGGAAGAAAAGCAATGGCCTCGGGAGGGATAGGAAATTGAGGGCTGAAAGCTGCCTGAGGCTACTTCTTCTTTGCTTGCTTCTATCCCCTTCAAATCTTCACTTTAGGGCTTGGGGAATAGAACGCTGGTCATTTTTTCTGCTAACTCCCTCATTTCTCCTTTCCACAGATAGACAACCAGAAAATGGTCTAGGTGAGCAGGGTTAGATTGGGAATCTACCAGTCAGGTTGACTATGAAACCAGTGGGAAACATGTATTTTACAGACAAGGATAGTGAAGACCAGGGACTTCTTGGGATGAGTAGCTACACATCACCAGTCTCCCTAGCAACGGCTAAACTGAGTCAGCTAGGGACTCACCCTTTCATGTAATCCGAAGGCATCAATCAGAGATAAGACCCAGCTCACGCTGCCATCTCCACCACAAACCACAATGCGAAAGCGAGCAAAGTTCTTGAACATGCACAGCCTGGAAGGAAGAGGGGGAAAGGGAGTCATTTAATGAACTCCTGGGTTTTACAACTCTTTCCTACAATGTTCCAGGACCCAAGGACTGCTGCTTCTGTACCCTGCTAACAGGCTATACCTACTTTCTTTCCTTTAGCCCCTATCTCTCTGTGTACCTAACATCACAAGCAATGTTCCCACAGGCAATCCTGGAGATGAGAACCTGCCTCAACCCACACTCTTCTGTGCTCAACCTTGCTGTGCAGTCTACTAGTAACCTAGCCAAATCTACTTGTTGAGGCCTGGGAAGAATGCCTTGCATGGTGGCCAGTGGGCTCACAGAAACCAGGGCTGAACATCCAGATGGTTCCCAAATAAAACAGGCCTGTAGTAGAGCTATATCTGCTTGGCCCCAGAAAAAAGAAAGGGTAAGTGACAAGAAAGGTGGACAGAATTATTCATTTGCCTCCTCCTCTGAGGTCAGGAGACATAATTTTACCTCTTCCAACCTGAAAAAGTAGAGCAAATCTGGGCTTGAAAGGATACCTGGGAGAGGGCTAAAAGTCCTTCAACAAGCCAACCCAAAATGCTCTGGAGTTGTCTGTTTGTGTCCTGACTTAAGAAAATAGATCTTTCCTGCCCAGGTACTAGAACTAATTCCAGGAAGCCTATCTTTGTCTAGAAAGTATAGAGGGAGAAGTCCCTTCTATATACCCAACTATATCCTTTACCCCATGCTTACCCCGCTTCAGGTCCGCCCTTCGACAGGTCAAACACTTGAGATGGGTTAAGGTATTGCTTGAATTTTCGGAGGAAGACGATCCCTTGATGATCGCCACTTTTGGAGTTGATGAAGATGAGAAGGGGACATGAACAGGCTGATGACCAATCGAGACTCCAGAAGTCTGAAGATACTACTAATTGGCCTGATACATGCACATGACAAACAGAAAAAGAAGGAAAAAAAGAAAAGGGCCATTGAGATGGAAACAAGACATGACTTATCATCAAATTTTGCAAAGATTTTTTTAACCAGTTTTATTGAGGTATAAATGCTATACAATGAACTGTACATATTTAATATGTGCAATTTAATGAGTTTAGACATTTGCAAACACCCATGATACCATCATCACAATCAAGGTAATAGACATATCCAACACCTCCCAGAGTTTCCTTGTGTGCCAGACTCCTGAGACTGAGGAACAGAGGGGAAGTCAGGACAAAACCCAAAGGAGCTTTTATTTTTAAAAATCAGCTGGCCTTTGCCCAGCTATTGCCAGGCAACCAACATTTGCTTAGCAACTACTACCTGCTGCTACTACTGCTGAGCAACTACTACTGCTAAGGGTATAGCTGCTGCCCTCAAGCTGGGGAGACAGACTCATACACAAGAGTACGTTGGAACACAAGGAATAAGGAAATTGGTGCCACAACCAAGGATGAATAAAATGCTGAGTGGAAATTGAGCAAGGGGAAGGTTGAGAGCCCAGGAGGAGGATCAGCACACCAATTAGTCCTCTCTGCCGGGGATACCTCAGTTCTCACAATGAGAAGATACCAGGTCTTTAGCCAGGAGCTAATGACTAAACGTATCAATGTGGGGTGAAGCAGGGAGCTTTAATAACTCCTTTAAGGCTCTGGCAGAGCAATCCAAGTTATCACACCAACTTTCAGGGGAAACAAGACTATCGGGAAATTGTCTGAACAAGAGAGAGGCTTTTAATAATCCCCAACACTTAAGTTCCCCATAGAGAAGTGGAGTTAAAGCAGTCTAAACTGCCAAAGCATGTCAGCTTGTGCTGAGTCTTAAAGTCTGTTGGCAGGGAGACAAGCAGTGAGCAATGGCCCCCTAGGAGATGCTAGACAAATTGTGAGCCCCTAAACCTTGTGAGCTTGTGGCTTGCCAGGATGTCCCAGCAAAAATAAATGCAAAGGGCAAAAGGTATGTGGTTTGCTCCTGAATGGTGTGGGTCAAGGGAGGGAGGTGGGTTGAAATGTCCCATTTGTTGTAGCCTGAGTGAAAGGGAGCCTGAAGGAAGACCGCTTACTTGAGCAGATTTCATGGCTGTTTTGCCTGGAAAAATCTAAAGCAGGCTTCCTCTATGGGCCAATTTCTACTCATTGGTCATTAAAGCTTGAAGGCATCCTAAGCCAGCTAGCCAGTGATGCACCAAATCTTCAGGGCTTGCCAGGACTCAGAGCTACAATGGGAGCCTGCTGTGTCCCTTCCGTAGCATTGCTTGGAAGTAGTTACTCTCCCTGAACACATTAACCAAAAGTAGTACCCTTTTCAACATTTTTTTTTACAAAAGGTAATATGTTAACACAATGGTAGTTAAGACACATTAATTAATTCATTCAACAAATACGTATTGAGGGCATTCTCTGTGCCTGTCCTTGTTATGTTCTGAGAACACAGTGGTGGACAAGATAGAAACAATCTCTGCTCTTGTGGAATTTATATTCTAATGGAGGCAGGAAGACTATAATAAATAAATAAATACAATAATATGATATGAAGAAAAATAAAGCAGGGAAAGGGGACAGAGACTGAAGGGGATGTTATTTTAGGGTGGTCAGGGACAGCTTCTCTGGGGAGGTGACGTTTGAGGTGAGATTTGAATGAAGTGAGGAAGTGAACTGTACAGATATCTTGGGGAAGAGTTTTTTGGGGCAGGAGGAAGAATAAGTGCTGGGACCCAAAGAAGGGAGGCTGTCCGGGGTGTCTGAGGACCAGTGAAGAGAATAATATGTCTGTTGTGGAGTGAGGGAGAGTGGCAGAAGATGGAGTCAGAGAGATGGCAGGGACGAGATAAATGAGAAGATGTTAGAGGAAGCAGTTCAAAAATTAGGGTGAGGGGGCCGGCCCCATGGCTGAGTGGTTAAGTTCGTGCGTTCTGCTTCAGGGGCCCAGGGTTTCGACGGTTTGGAACATGGGCGCGGACATGTCACCGCTCATCAGGCCATGTTGAGGCGGCGTCCCCAATGCCACAACTAGAAGGATCCGCAACTAAAATATACAACTATGTACTTGGGGGATTTGGGGAGACAAAGCAAAAAAAAAATGATTGGCAACAGTCATCAGCTCATTAGCTCAGGTGCCAATCTTTAAGAAAAAAAAAATTAGGGTGAGACTGTTCAGTATGGAATTGAAACATTAGGTAGGGGTCAGGCCATAAGATATATGAAGAAAATAGTCAAAAGGTGGTATCTTTTTACGTGCTTGCTCCCCTCCCAACCGACAATGCGGGCCCCAACTCATGGCCTGGCCCTCGTCTTATGCCTCCTTTGTTTCAGAACTCGATTCTGCTCTGCTTCACTTCCTTACTCAGCAACCTCCTGTTGACACCCTGTAGGTGAGCATGCGACTTTGAGTATGTAGCCCAATTAAAAGATTCATGGAAACGGCTTTCTGCCAACATCTGGTGGACCTGTGAGGTTTGCTTGGAAGCAAGGACTCCCCCTGCCAGAGGTCCTGGAATAGACCTGTCCATGCCCTTAATGTTTTTTTAACAGTGTCAAAGGCCCTTTGGGTTAGTCCCTTTCTAAAGGTGAGGGAGCAGTAGCAGTGAGACCAACTACTGTGAGCTATCTGGGCTCCAGTTTCCTTTCCTGGCTGCCCTCCAGGTTTATTCACTAACCTAGAGCAAACATCTTCACTGCTTTGGGTATCTGCAAAATGGGCTATTCAAAAAACTAACTTGTTTCCCAGTGTTAGATAAAAATAAACTAGGTGTTACGCTGATGAGAAAAGGAAATGTAAATTGGCTCTTAAAGGTGAGCAAACTTAGTCGAAATAAGAAAGATACTAATTAAAACTAGACCATGGTACCATTTTTTCTTGTCTAGAAGATTGGAAAAAACAGAAAAAAATAGATAACACATTTGATTGAGGAGGCCATGGGGAAATATGCACTCTCATACACTGAGGATGGAAGTGCAAAGTGACAGAAGCCCTATAGTGGGCAATTTGACAGTATCTATGAAAATTATGAAGGCATATGCATTTTGACCCAGTAATTACACTGCTGGGAATTTCTCCTATAGATGTATATGTAAAATCATACGTATGAGGTTGTTCATTGCAGCACTGTTTGTAAAAGCAAAAGACTGAAAACTACCAAATTATCCAACAATAGGCGACTGGTTAAATGAATTATGGTGTATCTATATAATGGGATATTTTTTAGCTGTAAAAAAGAGTGAGGAAGCACTCTATTGTTGACACAAAAAGATATCCAAAATATGCTGAGAAGGCGGGAAAAAAAAGCAAAGTGCAGGACAATGTGTACAGTGTTAAAAAGAGGAGGGATAAGAATATATATTTATATATCCTAGTATACAGATGAAGAAATACTAGAAGGTATTCGATAAACGGCAGTAGTCAACTGTTTGTGAGTGGGGATAGGGTGGGGCTGTAGGAGATTAAGAAGATCAGAGAAAAGATAGCAGAAAGCTTTTTTAAATAAATACTGTGGGCCTATGTGTGTTTCTATTTTTTTTTTAAATTTGAACCATGTGAATATGTTAACTAGTCAGGAATTGAATTAATAAATAGGGAAAATTATGCTAATGCTATCTGTAAGTTAAGGAGCCATGAGGATGTAGCTGAAATAATTTCTAGATCTATTTGGAAGCTTGGAGCGTGGGCTGCTTTCTGCAGTGTAGTTCTACAACAAAATGCAGCTGTGTGCCACAGCTCGTTGTCCTTTAGGTGTATTCACTGACCTAGAACAAACATCCAACTTCTTTGGGTGTTCATTTATTCACATGTATAATAGCATCATGTTGCAATGATAAATAAAATAAACCAGGGTGGGGAGAAAGCTGCTGGATAAAAAGAAAATTCTGTCATTAAGGCAACTTGAACTTCAGTGTCAAACCTAATTTTGTCACAGATGAGAAGACTAGGGGAAGCAGTGCTGGCAGAAGCCATTCCCAGGAGAATACAAGGGCAGCCCCATCTAGCATTTCCCCCAGAATCAGAGAACATCTGAATTTGAGTAGGGCCAAGTTTGTCAAGAGAATCTTATCAACAAGGTGACAAAAATGGGTGGCATTGTGGGCTGGAATGTAGCAATATTAGGCAGATTTATAACCAGATAAGTAATCGTGCCCACAAGGTTGTTTTCAATAGGCTGGTGTTACCTGTACGGGAGTGTCCTGTACCATGCAATTATTTTAATCAATTCAAATGGAAACATAGAAGGCTAGCTTGTCAACTTTGAAGCACCTAAAGCTGGAAGGAGAGCTACCGGATGACAGAATCGAGATTGAAAAAGGACCTCAGTGGGCAGATGGGCCAAAGTCAACAAGATGAAAAGAGGATAAATGTGAAGCTTGGCCTTTAGGCTCAAGGACATAAATTGCAGCCGAACAGGACAATAGGAACTTGGCTTGGCAGCATCAAGTGTGAAAGGGGCTTAGGGGATTTAGTTGACTTTAAGCTCCAGATGAGTCAACAGCCTGAAAGAGCCTTTCAAAAAAAGCTCATGCTTCTTTGAGCTGCATTAATATAGCCACAGTGCCCAAAACTAGGGAGTCAACAGTCCCCCTCGAATTTGTTCAGTTCATACCACAGAAATGCTGCATAAGGTTGGCTTACTGTTCCCTCTCCTGTATTTTAAAATCCTCTTTTACAGATATTAACTCATTTAACCCTCATAATGCACCTGGTACAACTATTATTCCTATTGGCAGAAAACAAATGATAGATGAGGCACAGAGAGGTTAAGTAACTTGTCCAAAGTCACACAGCATCAGCATCATCATCTGGGGATTTGTTAGAAACGCAAATTCTTGTGCCCTAACCAGGGCACTGATTCTGTTGAATCAAAAGTTCTAGGGGGTAGGGCCTAAAAATCTGTGTTTTAACAAGTCTTCCAGATGATTCTGATGCATTCTTACATTTGTCAACCACTGCAATACACTATTTTGCTTTCATATGAATCAGGGATGTTGTCTTAGTCATCTCTTATTCTCTAGATTGCTCATCACTGAGCCTTACATATAGGCAGTATTCAGTAAATGTATTAATGAATTCATATAACAAATCTTGACTATGCATATACCATGTACCCAGGTCTGAGTTAAGTGCTAGGGGTACAGAGAGTTCACAGTCTGGAATAGGAGACAGACATGTGATGAGCTATAATATGGTGTGTTAGGTGCTCTGAGATATGTGTTCTAGGTTTATAGCAAAGTAAGTAAGTAATTTGTCTGGGGAAGTGGGGAGGGGCAATTACAGAAGCCTTCAAATAAGAGATAATGTTTCATTTTGTTCTCACCCTATAGGATGAGAGAAGGAATTTACCAAGCAGACTGGGCAGGAAAAAGGGGTAATTAGAAGGCATTCTCAGAAATTAGATTCTGTGGACTTAATAAATGAATGAGTTAATGGATGAGTGCTATTCAACAATGGCAAGTGCTTCCTCGGAAAGTCATCAGCTGGATGACTCCACTCTGGATGCTGGAGAAGGGATTTCCTAGCTTGGCCAGAGGGCTTGGACCAGATCATCTTTAAGGACCTTATCATCTCCAAGATGAGGTGGGACATCCCAACAGGGAAACTATCCATTAAACAGCATATTTGCCTAGGCCAAGAAGCCAGAAAGAGTCAAGAAGATAGGAAGGTCTTAGAAAACTTTCCTAAGAAATCACAGGGCAAGTAATGCACGATAGAAAGGAAGGGCTCGCAAAAGTGAGATTCAATTGGATCAAGATTGCAGATGATTAGGAGGAAAGGCTAAAAGCTAACTCATGGCACATTCGATGAGACACTACACAAAAAGAATGGCTTAGCTCAGGTGCTTCTGAGCAATAATGTTATGTCATTGGTAGAAAGCAAAAGAAAGGAGCAGTGCCATTAGTTGACAATCTATAACAAGAATAAGAAGTGATATAGGATAGGAGAAGGTAAACTGAAAACAAAAAACAAAATTCCACAAGGACAGGAAGCACAAGAACTTGTCCAATTACAAAGGAGAGGTGGCAGACCCTTAACACCTATTTGGGTTGATTTGTGAGATGCTGAGGTAGGCATCCTTCAGTTTACTCAAAGACATCTTCCCCCTGAGGGGGTGAGAAAAGTCTCAGATTTAAGACTAGGTTGACTTTCATTAGTAGTCTGAGTTTGCTCGACTGACTAGCTTGCTGCTTTTCCTCTTCTACCAGCCCCATCTTCCCCCTAGTCCCTTCCTTCGTCTATCCAGTCAAGAATCTCTTATTTACCACGTCATCAATCTCATCATCTCTTTAGTCAACTATCTGGTAGGTAGCTATATGTGGATAAATATTTGAGTATATCTGAGTATAATATATGTATGCATCCGTGAGTGAGGTTAGCTTTGTGTCTGTGCATGTCATTATGGGGACATATGAGTATGCTTGCCTGCAGAAACCTATGTGATGGCTCATTCCATGTACCAAGGTCTGTATCTGTGTTAGGGTTGCAAAATGAACTGGAAGAGACTAGAGTGGCTCTGAGTGTGTGTACATATGTGCACACATGTACACATGTGCTATGTCTAATTCTAAAACCACGTTTTAACAGCTAGAGGAGTCATCATCTCCTTCTGTTCTCTGAGAAAGGAAACTTTATATTCTTCTTTTTTTCCTTTCTTTGCTTCCAGCTAACACTGGCAATGAAGTGGGCAGTAAGCATCCATTTGGGAATAATTTTTAAGTCAATGAAATGTTGGTTCTCAAATCACTTCTGGACCAGTGAACATCTCATATGTCAGAGATGGATACATTAGCATACTAGCAAAATATAGATTAAACATTCCAAGAAGCGTTTGAACTTTCCTCCAGTAAGTGAAACTGGTCATAAACAGAGTGAAGCTAACACAAACTGAAATTAGCAGGCATTGTATCTCTTCACTGGCTTAGTGAAACGGTAGCATGTCAGTTGGTAAACATATTAGATCTCTAAATTTCTTACTGTTAGTGAAATAGGCCAGGTCTTTTTAGCTGTGCTATGTGATTTTGATCTTGACAGCTCTCATTCTTTAATAATGAATAATGGGAGAAGAAAATGAACAACTCAATGGTAGAAAGGAGAGTCTCAGAAGAAGCAAAGAAAAAGTGGAGAAGGAGATATGAACTAAAAAAGGCATCATTAGCAAGTGCTAAAGAGCGAATTATCCCTGTGGGGGTCTACAGTTTTCATTACGCTAGAAGACTTGGGATTTAGTTCTGTGGTCCTTTTGGGTCTATGTTTCTGGATAGTTAGGCCCTTTACATATTATCACTTATCCTCACAATGTACAGTATGATTCTCATTTATAGATGGGGAAAGTAACGCTCAGAGAATGTAAGTGACTTACCCAAGGTCACCTAGCTGGTAAGTAACTAAAATTCATGGTTTCCTAGACCTTGTTTTTTCCCTTACACGATGCTGCCTCTATGTCTTATCCATTCTTAAAAAACAAACACAAAACTAAACAATATGTCTCTCTCCTTTGCCCCTGCTTCCTCTTTTCTAATATCTCTAGACCTCCTCATAGCAGACTCCATACAAAGTTTACTCTTACTGCATTGATTTTATTACTACCTCCTTTCTGTGCAACCTCCTACATACAATTGGTTGACACTCCTAACATTTTCTGATCTCCAAGTATCTCTATCACTCCTTTTGTGCTTATCATATGCTACTTTAATTTGTCTTGTCATATTATATCCATATCCTGGGTCCACAATAACCATAAGTTCTGGCAATGCTCTTGGATCTTTCTGTAACCTTCAAACACCTTATGAATAGAGTTCTCAATAAATCACTGCTGTCCAAGAATTGACAAAGCATCAATGGAGTGTATCGGGGCAATGATCATGTTAGTTTCAGATTTGGTGGCAACCTTGGTGTTAGTTTCTATTCTAAAAGTAACATGACTTGGGTCTTCATGCAGTAAACAAACATTTCATAGATTATCTAGCGTCTGAAAATCAAGAAAAAGCTGAAATTAATTCTGATCATTCAGAAACAATTGTGACAGAGGCTACAGAGAACATGCCCACATACATATACACCATAAACATCAACATTCACCATCCCAAAGCTCTAATGAGAAAGATGAGCTCTCTCTACACAGATGCATACTCCTACTTCCCAGAAATGTTGATTGTGGAGGAGAATAATTTAATCACAGTCCTTTTCTCCAGTCTTTGCACCTTCCCCCCCTCCTCAGTGTATTTGTGAGGTTACAGTTTAGCAACTCACCATCTCCTTTAGGGTCGCTGAGGGCAGTGGGAGGAATGACTGATGTTCGATGACTTCCAAAGCAGCATTCCTTGGAAAACCGTCTTCGGCAGTCATCATGCACCTGAAACGACAGAGAAGAAAAGAGAAAAAAAGGAGGGGAGAGAGAAAAGGATAACATTGGTTAGTCTTGGGTTCCAATTCCAAGACTTGAGTACTCAGTGTTCAAATCTCCCTTTCTGAGATTTGATGCCATACACATCCCCCTTACTCAAACTGGACACACTCTCTCCACCTTGAGCCTACACCATCCCTGAGTGTGGTCTCTGAACTCTGTTCCTTTCAAAGGTGGTTTTCAGAAGATACTCATCACAGGCACTGAGAAGACACCAGTCCTAAGGCACAATCTTAGTGGCCTACAGAACAGAGAATTTACTTGCAGTAGAAGAGTGCTAATCCTCATAACATGCTATTTTATACTTCAGTCCTTACAAGAATTGTGTGTGGTAGGGAAGACGTTGAGTTCATTTTAGAAATGAGGATATCAAAGCTCAGAGAAGTAAGAGATCTTGCTCAAGGTCAAACAGCTAGGAAGTGACAGAGCTGAGACTCTGCTGCCTTCTCCACTAGTGGCCATTCTTCCCAGATTTCTGACATCCTCAAACAACACTTCCTGGACAAGTACGCAGTTTTTAAAGGACATGAACCTTGCCTAACTATGCAAAAGCAATTAAAAGAGAGCCAGAGGACAACCAGAGCCTTCTTTTTTTTTATTGAGTTGTAATTGACATACAACATTATGATAGTTTCAGGTGTACAACATAATAATTCTACATTTCTATATATTGCAAAGTGATCACCACAATAAGACTAGTTAACATTTGTCACCATACATAGTTACAATATATAGTTATATGATAGTTCTTGTGATGAGCACTTTTAAGATTTACTCTCTTGGCAACTTTCAAATATGCCATAGAGTATTATCAACTACAGTCACCATGCTGTATATTACATACCCAGGACTTATTTATTTTATAACTGGAAGCTGGTATATTTGGACCCTCTTCATTCATTTTGCCCACTCTCACCCCCCACCTCTGGCAATCACCAATCTGTTCTCTGTATCTATGAGCTCAGTTTTTTTTAATAAGTAAGATCGTATGGTATTTGTCTTTCTCTGTCCGACTTAGTTCACTTAGCATAATGCCCTCAAGGTCCATCTATGTTGTCACAAATGGCAAGATTTCTTTTTTTATGGCTGAATAATACTGTGTTGTGTATACATATATACACCACATTTTCTTTATCCATTCATCCATTAGTGGAAACTTGGGTTGTTTCCATATCTTGGCTATTGCAAACAATGCTGCAATGAACATGAGGGTGCATATATCTTTTCTAGTTAGTGTTTTCATTTTATTCAGATAAATACCCAGAAGTGGAATTGCTGAATCACATGGTAGTTCTACTTTTAATTTTTTTTATCCATATTGGCTGTACCAACTTACATTCCCTCCAACATGCACAGGGGTTCCCTTTTCAACATATCCTCACCAACACTTGTTATTTCTTGTTTTTGGTAATAGCCATTCTAACATGTGTGAGGTGATATCTCATTGTGGTTTTGATTTGCATTTCCCTGATGATTAGTGACATGAAGCACCTTTTCACGTACCTGTTGGCCATTTGTACGTCTTCATTGGAAAAATATCTATTCAGATCCTCTCCCCTTTTTTTAATTGGATTGTTTGGGTTTTTGCTATTGAGTTGTATGAGTTCTTTATATATTTTTGATATTAACCCCTCATCAGATATATGATTTACAAATAATTTTCCCCATTCAGTAGGTTGCCTTTTCATTTTGCTAATGAATTCCTTTGCTGTGCAGAAGATTTTAGTTTGATGTAGTCCACTTGTTTATTTTTGCTTTTGCTGCCTTTGCTTGTACTGTCAAATTCAAAAAATCATCACCAAGACTGATGTCAAGAAACTTACTGCCTATGTTTTCTTCTAGGAGTTTTATGGTTTCAGGTCTTACACTCAAGTCTTTAATTCATTTTGAGTTAAATTTTGCATATGGTGTAAGATAGTGGTCAAATTTCATTCTTTCACATGTGGCTATCCAGTTTTCCCAGCATCATTTATTGAAGAGACTGTTCTTTCTGCATTGTATATTCTTGGCTTGTCATAAATTAATTGACCATATATGCATGGGTTTATTTCTGGGCTCTCTATTCTGTTTCATTGATCTAAGCGTCTGTTTTTATACCAACACCATACTGTCCTGATGACTATGGCTTTGTAATATAGTTTGACATTAGGGAGTGTGATGCCTCCAGCTTCCTTCTTATTTCTTAAGCTTTAGCTATTCAAGGTCTTTTGTGGTTCCACACAAATTTTAGGATTGTTTGTTCTACTTCTGTAAAAAATGCCATTGGAATTTTGACAGGGATTGCATTGAATCTAGATTGTTTTGGGTAGAATGCACATTTTAACAATATTCATTCTCCAATCCATGAGCATGGAATAATTTTCCAATTACTTTTGTCATCTTCAATTTCTTTCATCAATGTCTTATAGTTTTCAGTGTACCAGTCTTTCACTTCCTTGGTTAAATTTATTCATCAGTATTTTTTTCTATTTTATGCAATTGTAAATGGGATTGTTTTCTTTTTTTGTTTAAAGATTCTATTTTTTCCTTTTTCTCCCCAAAGCCCCCCGGTACATAGTTGTATCTTCTTCGTTGTGGGTCCTTCTAGTTGTGGTATGTGGGATGCTGCCTTAGCGTGGTTTGATGAGCAGTGCCATGTCCGTGCCCAGGATTCGAACCAACGAAACACTGGGCTGCGTGCAGCAGAGTACGCGAACTTAACCACTCAGTCACGGGGCCAGCCACGGGGCCAGCCCCGGGATTGTTTTCTTAATTTCTCTTTTTGATAGTCTGTTATTAGTGTCTAAAAATGAAACAGATTTTTTGTATATGATTTTGAATCCTCTGACTGTATTGACTTTGTTTATTAGTTCTAACAGTTTTTTGGTGGATGTCTTTAGGGTTTTCTATATATAATATCATGTCGTCTGTAAATAGTGACAGTTTTACTCCTTCCTTTCTGATTTGGATGCCTTGTATTTCTTTTTCTTGCCTAATTTCTCTGTCTAGGACTTCTAATACTCTGTTGAATAAAAGTGGTAAGAGTGGGCATCCTAGTATTGTTCCTGATCTTAGAGTAATAGCTTTCAGCTTTTCACCATTGAGTATGGTGCTAGTTGTGGGCTTGTCATATATGGCCTTTATTATATTTAGGTACTTTCGCTCTATACCCACTTTGTTGAGTTTTTATCATAAATGGATATTGAATTTTGTCAAATGCATTTTCTATGTTTATTGAAATGATCATATGGTTTTTATCTTTCATTTTGTTAGTGTATTGTATCACATTGATTGACTTGTGGATAATGAACCATCCTTGCATCCTTGGAATAAATCTCACTTGAACATGGTGTATGATCCTTTTAATGTATTATTGAATTTGGTTTGCTAATATTTTGTTGAGAATTTTTGCATCTATGTTCATCAGGGATATTGGTCTGCAATTTTCTTTCCTTGTAGTGTCCTTGTGTGGTTTTGGTATCAGGGTAATGTTGGCCTCGTAAAATGAGTTTGGAAGTATTCCTTCCACTTCAATTTTTGGAAGAGTTTGAGAAGGATTGGTATTAATTCTTCTTTGACTGCTTGACGGACTTCAACAGTGAAGCCACCTGGTGCTGGACTTTTGTTTGTTGGAAGGTTTTTGACTATTGACTCAATTTCCCTACTAGTAATTGGTCTGTTCAGACTTTCTATTTCTTTGTGATTCGGTCTTTGTAGGTTATGTCTTTCCAGGAACTTATCCATTTTTCTAGGTTGTCCAATTTGTTGGCATATAATTGTTTACAGTCTCTTATGATCCTTTCTGTTTCTGTGGTATCAGTTGCAATGTCTCCTCTTTCATTTGTGATTTTATCTATTTGAGTCCTCTTTTTTTTTGCTTGGTTAGTCTAACTAAAGGCTTTTCAATTTTGTTTATCTTTTCAAAAAAACAGGTTTAGTTTTATTGATCTTTTCTATTGTCCTTTTAGTCTCTGTTTCATTTATTTTCACTCTGGTCTTTGTTATTTCATTCCTTCTACTAACTTTGGCCTCCATTTGTTCTTCTTTTTATAGTTCCTTGAATTAGGTTGTTTATTTGAGATGTCTCTTGTTTCTTGATGTAGGCGTTTATCGCTACAAACTTCCCTCTCAGAACTGCTTTTGCTGCATCCCGTAAGTTTTGATATATTGCATTTCCATTTTCATTTGTCTCACTGTATTTTTTGATTTCTTTGTTGATCCATTGGTTGTTCAGTAGCATGTTGTTTAATCTCCACATATCTGTGCATTTTCCAGTTTTCTTCCTGTAATTGATTTCTAGTTTCATATTATTGTGATTGAAAAAGATGCTTGATATGACTTCAATCTTTTAAAATGTATTAATATTTGTTTGTTGCCTAACATATTACTTATCCTGGAGAATGTTCCATGTGCACTTGAGAAGAATGTGTATTCTGTTGCTTTTGGATGGAATGTTCTGTAAATGTCTGTTAAGTCCATCTGGTCTAATGTGTCATTTAAGGCCAATGTTTCCTTACTGACTTTCTGTCTGGATTATCTATCCACTGATGAAAGTGGGGTATTAAAGTTCCCTACTATTATCATATTGTTGTGTATTCCTCCCTTCAGGTCTATTAGTATTTGCTTTATATATTTAGGTGTTCCTATGTGGAGTGCATAAATATTTACAAATATTATATTCTCTTGTAGGATCATTCCCTTTTCATTATGTAATGACTGTGTCACTTACTACAGTCTTTGTTTTAAATCGATTTTGTCTGATATAAGCATAGCTACCTCAGTTTTTTTTTTGGTTTCCATTTGTATGGAATATCTTCTTCCATTCTTTCACTTTCAGTCTGTGTGCATCCTTATACAGTCACGCATCAATTATCAACAGGGATACATCCCGAGAAATGCATTGTTAGGTGATTTTGTTGTTGTACAAAAATCATAGAGTGTATTTACACAAACTTAGATGGTATAGCATA